CATTTGTGCTTCACTGGGAGGATGGTATTGGCCTGGCGATGAGCCATGCCTGGTCTCCTCCAAACATGACGCCAAAGAATTCAATCTTTGTCTCATCAGACCAAAGTATCTTGTTTCTCCTGGCCTGAGAATCCTTCAAGACAAACTCCAGATAGTCTGCCATGTGGCTTTTATTAGGGAGTGTCTTCCATCTGGTCATTCTACCACACAGGTAGATGTTGGTTGTCCTTTTGGAAGACTCTCCTCTCTATGCAAAGGAAAGCCAGAGGTCGGACAGATTGACCATTGGGTTCGCCTCCCTGACTAAAATGACCTACACCATTTTTCAGCTTAAAGTTGTCAGCTATTTTGTGGTGGTCTGTTAAAAAAGTCCAATTAAACTAAAATTTGTGGCTGTGATATGTGATAATGCAAGGAAAGAACTATTGTATATAGTATATTATAGAAATTGAGTTAGAAATTGAGTTAACCTAAAGGTTAACACAAGTATGATGGAAAATGGTGTTTTTATTATCTTTCCTTTAAACATTTTTCTCTTAATGATGCTGTCATTAAATAAAACAAGAAAAGTTTGTGTTGTGACAATACACAGTATTTCAGTAAATTACAAAGAAATTGCTCGCTGCACGGGAATGTAATAACGCACATATGAAACAGTCACATTTGATTAGGTTTGTGGTTCTTTTTCTGCTGCTGTGGGAAATTGATTTCATCGCGTCCAATTTAAAATCAAATGAAAGCCAGCAGTCTGAAGGCGTCGAAACTCTACCTTTGTCGCAGGACCCCTGCTGGATCCTCCCCGATGACCTGATACTCGGACCACAAACTTGAAATAGCGTGCCATTAGAGCTGAGATGAAGGTTCCTGATACGAGTAGCTCAGGTTGGTGGACTGACTTCAGCCCACGCAGCTCATTATTTTTAATTAGCCCCCCCTTTTCAGCTCGTCCGTTTTTATGACAGAGGGTCATTAAGCACCCAAACGCTGACTTTTAAATACAATCAGACGTTTGATGTTGAGTTTAACACATCAACTGACTTACGTCTGCAGCCAAGAAGCACGGATGTTAAACTTTGCGATTGTCTTTGTAAAGTTTGCTCTCACTTATTGTTTGGACAGTCTGGAAACTTGATATGTTGTCACTAATTGTCTGTCTTAAAGCCTTTTTTATGTAAGGATAAGGTAATGAAGCAGAAAAACTTTTACTTCTAATGAGCTGTAGAAATCTGACATTACTGTTGCATTTTTCTAAAGTAGTCTACTTCTTAGCAGAAGTTTGGCCATGCAACATAGTTTTCAAGGCTTGCTGGTCAAGTGGGAGTGATTTTATGTGCTACTTATTCACTGACTTGCTTATTTAGCAGACACTATAGCTTTTATTTTATTGATAATCCATATATTAGTGACTACTTTATACATATGTTATCTCTAAGTAAATACAGAATAGCAATGGGCATATTGTTTGATTCAAAATGTTTTGAAACAATAAAGTTTAAAAATTCAGATTTTCTAACTTCCTTCATAAAGTAGTGCTAATGCTAAGATTAGCACTATTTTAGGAAGAGAGTTGTTATTTTTTTGTCAGGTTGTTATGTTTGTCCTCTGTAATATTGTCACAGCTAGAGACTCTGGTTTTTACATTTTTGTTTTTTATGTTAAAGACACAGAGACGTCCAGTATCGGCTCCATTGTCTGAAAAATGTAATTAAAAAACGAAATGCGCCTACAGTAACATAACCTTGCTTCTTATTCAGCCTCTGTGATTCCTGTCGTTCAGTATTCACAGCCACGCTTGTTGGTTCCAGGCTGCACAAGGTATTGTATAATAGAGCTGACTTTAAAGCAGATTGAAACAAGGCACTTTTTAAAGGAGATAAATAACACCAGGCATACCTTTGACAAAAGCACTCATTTTAATTCCATATGGACTTACATTTCTGACATGAGACAACAGATTTGAAGCATTTTGTAGCATTTTGTTGTAATTTCTACATCACAAATATCTGCTGTTACCTCTACTTGGAGAACATCTTCTGCAAACTTAATGCATCTTAAGCCGATTTCAGATACGGAATGTGGATTGTTAATGGTTTTGATTTAAAATGCATTTTGGCATGTTTATGGTGTTGATTTTCACAGTCTCAACTGTAATTCATACTGTGCAGTTAGAATCAAATACAAACACACAGACACACACACAACACACATATAATCAAAGCAATTGAAGATCTTACAAAAACAGGTTTTTACTACACCAATATAGCCTGCCTACTTTTATTCTGGATTTAATAAAGTCAATCATACAATCTCCAGATAGACTTTTTGAAGAGCAAATCTACACTGGCACATCTACCAAGCAACTTCTCTATGTGGTATATCTGAAATTCCAAAAGGCAGGACATGTAAGAAAGGAAATAAAACTGCATATGACGAATGTCCTTCACCAAGGGTCTGTTTCTGCCCCCAGTTGTTAAAAATAGTCAAATGTTTCTGAAGTGGCCGCAGACAACATCTTCCATGTTGGTAACACAAAGGCTCTCAAAAAGACCTAAGTGAAACCTCATGCAAGCCTTTATTTTGACCAATCCAACACTGAGCTGTTCTGAGACAACATGGTTAATGTATGGGTTTGAATACCTCAAAGTCATACTTGAATGGATAAGTTTCTGAACATAAACATAAAAATCATTGAGTTTTTAGAAAAATCTCCAATATCATCATCAAGGAATTGGTGAAGGGAGTTCAGACTCAACTTTAATACAGTTTAGACGTATGACTTGTAAATGTTGACTTTATGACCAACGTTTTAGTCAAAATGAAAACTTAACATAGATCTAAAACTGGCTTTAACAAACTTACTTGGCATGTAAAAGGTGAACGCTAGCTTGATTCTCTAACGAGAACAAACTTCATTAACACAACCTATTGACATTGATATTGTCATACAGCATCATTTTATGTCTTGTACAATTTTGAGGAATAGATTCAGTAAACTCTGAAGAGGTTGTTTACTTCAAAATGGTGACCATGTTATGTTGAAAGAAAATACATTTTTGACCAAATATTTAAATAAACTACTATTTGGAATTATGTACATTGCAAAAGCAAAAAAAAACAAAAGACATAAATAAATAATCTAGTAACTTCCCAAAGCAAACTACCCAGTACGACTGTCAGGTCATTTAAGCTGGTTTCTAAGTAACAGACTACATGAGGAGAGCAGCCATCTTCCTCTCCAATTTGAAATACAATATCTGAGCAACTGTTGAACCAAGTCACACTACATCTGGGTTCCACACACTCCATTTTTAGAGGATTAAAGATAAAAGACTGGTTTCAAATGGCTTCATTTGCCAAGTGCATGTTTCTAATCAGGAATTAGAACCTTTGTAATAAGTGGGTGATGAACAGTTTCTCCTTCTTACTAAATCTTGTAGATATTTGCTTTGAGGACACAAATAAGGGGCAGATGGAATTAGCCTAGAAATGAGAGCAGGGTGGGGTACGAGAAATGTGTCGCTTGGGGTCGACGACTTTTTGTGGAACATAAGTCCCATTTATCCCAAATTACGGCGGGCGCATGACTGACTTACTTTGATGCTCTTCTTGTTGGAGTGCAAAGGGATGAGGTTGACTGTAAAAAACACAAGTAGATCTTTAAGACTTGAGGTATTGGTATGAAGTCGACCCAGAGCCACTGACAGCTGTACTGTATTTATTTGGGGGTTTTATGTTGTAGGCTATGAGTAGATATTCCATAGAAATTCAGTTTTCATGAAACAGTACTAGGCCTGTTGTAAAAGAATATTTTAGTATATTAGAATATTTTTTAGAGTATTTTTACGATTATCCGAGGAATCGCGGTAACCTTCCATCACACCGCAAAATTCGACAACCCTTTTTTGTCCCCCAAACCCTGGCAAAACACCTTGCAATGCTAGCAGCATTCATTGTTGTGAAGCTGCTAGCATTTCACAACAACTCATAGGCGGAAGTCAGAGTGCTGCCCTCCACAAATACTGATCCGGGCAGAACACGGTGCGCTACATAATAAAACATAATTCAATGAAGCTTCAAGGCAGATCAATTTTCCTTGAGGTATTTTAATAATCAAGGTATTCTGATCACTCCAGTCAATACTTTGTAGAAGAGCCTTTCATTCATTTCTTAATCAACAACTCTCCCCAATGATTCCCTATTAGACCACGTTAACACAGCAGGTTCTCATTTCCAACTTCTTGTTAAAATCAGAGACATGACTGTTGGGATTGGGATGTGATTCATGTCAGTGAAGCTGACTACATTTATTAAGTCGTAGTTAAATATGATTTTATTTTAGTCAACGCTCTCTTCCTGCCACTGTGTTTCACCATGGTGATGGCGTACAGTTACATTTCCACCACACACCAAATATTCAGTGCAAAAATAGAGTTTTGGAGCAGAGCGCCCCCTCCTGCGTGTGTCACGTTGTTTCACACACATAACCCTTGCCTTGAGATTCTCCACAACTTTATCTCTGACCTGTCTGCTGCGTTTTGTTCACAAGTGCTCCCCAAAAAGCCCCCAACACCTTCACAGAACAGCTGCGCTTATAAGTCACAGACAGACTGTGTGCACTAATGAAGGGTGGTGAATTTTAGTGTTCTGCACAATTTTCAGATTTTGAATCACTGATTTGTGGGGCAGGGGACTGAAAACCAAGAATTATTATTAATATTTTGCAAGTCACTCTGCAGTTCGTGGGCAAGAACATCAATATCTATAAATGCATTAAAAATGCAAGTAGGTAATTTATTAGCCATAATTTCAAACCCATTATAATTGAAGGCAGAATCCTAAGATATGTCAGCAGTAGATGCTAAGTGACACAGCTGTTCATGTTCTGCCGCTGTCACTTCTTTGGGGAGATGGAGTTTAGAGTTTCTTTTCAAATCCAGGTTGCTGTTTTCTTCTTCTTTGCGCTTCTTCTAACTCGGTCAATATTGTTTCTGTCACCTCAGGATTATGACGACGGCTACGGAACCGCTTACGATGACCAAGGGTACGAGTCTTACGACAACAGCTACAGTAATCAAGGACAAAAGTAAGTTGCTGCATTTTTTAAAACTAAATTACCTTCATTATAATTTGTTCTGAAGATGTACAATTAAGTCCAAAATGATTGACACTTCTGGTGGATTTTGATTTATTCAGCAAAGAGGTTTGGATCTGACCGGAAATTAGACCAAAAAAAAAAAAAATACTGCAGAAACTTAAATTACAAAAAGTTTATATTTTATTGAAAATAGCATGTTAACAATCATTTTTACCCTTTTAAATACTTAATAGGAAACTCTGCAGTAATCAAACCTTTTCTGAATAATTTGTATTCACATTTTATGTTGTCTATTAATAATCTTAGTTTTGGTGATCAGCTTTAGGAGGTTGGAAGGCCTCTTCACCATCACCCTAATCAGGTTCAAGTAAATAAACCAACTGGGTCAGGTTCAAGTAAATAAACCAACTGGGTCAGCTCCAAAATGTTACAATTCCTTCCTTAAATCTCTGCATTTCTTTAAAAATCAGATAACTTGTTCGACCTCTATTCTGTGAACATGATTTCAACTGTAGAACTTTTTACCTGCATCTTGCAAAAAAAATATTTTCGCTGCACAATGACAGATTGATGTAATTTCAGAGCAAAGAATGGAAATGAAAACTGGCTTTTATATGTTAGAAAGAAAACATAAGACATCTGGCAGCCAAACTATACAATAAAATAGTCAGTTCTGTCAAAGTTATGAGGCTGTTAAAAAGGATTTAAAATTGGAAATCTAAATCACGGTTTCTTCTGTCAATGCTGAAGCACTTTCTGCCTGCCAGCCGCAGTGCAGATGAAAAAATAAAAAAGGAAAGGTAAAAAAAAAAAAAAAGACTTTAAAGTCACCTGCCTCTGGACTTTCACCTAAAAAATATTTGGTTTTATTGAGACGCAAAATTTCCCACTGCTGTTAATGTCATTGCATGCATCATACCTGGTGCTGCACTGCTAAAAGCAACAGTTACTTGAGGTATTCCAGCTAATAATAATAATACATTTAACTTGTATAGCTTTCCTAAACATCTTACAAGAATCAGATAAAATTACAATTGGAACATCAAATACACCAAACAGTTATAAATGCAGGACAGAAAAGTCGTCCTGTGTTTTTAGATGTGATTTGATTGTTGATAGATTGATGCAGTCAACATTTGAATCAGAAACCTTCTGTCCTTCAGACAGCAGAGCCACCAAAACCTGACGTCTAACACTGATTTTGTGTCATGATCTGCATATTTTGCTTTTTAAAAGAAATGGCGTTACCTTTTTCACATTTTTTTAACACTAAAGTCACAGACATTGTTCTATTTCCTTAAAAATTTACTGCATCGTTGTGAAGTGGAAGAAACAAGATGGTTTTGAAATTCCTTTGCTTATGAAAACAAGAATTTAAATATGCCAACCATTTGTTTTAAACCCTCCCTCAGTAAACATCTGGAAAACCGCAAACATAACTTTTTACAGACTCATTCATGCCACTCCTTTTCGAAATACACAAGCCACATACATCCAAGCGGTTGTTCACATAAGTTGCTACACGTTATGCTTGTAGGCTATAAACAGATTTAATCATCCCGAAGTCTTTAACCGTATCCAGAAGTCATACAGTTAGGGCCAGAAATATTTGGACAGTAACACAATATTTGTGAGTTGGGCTCTGCATGCCACCGCATTGGATTTGAAATGAAACCTCTACAACAGAATTCAAGTGCAGATTGTAACGTTTAATTTAAAGGGTTGAACAAAAATATCTGATAGAAAATGTAGGAATTGTACACATTTGTTTACAAACACTCCACATTTTAGGAGCTCAAAAGTAATTGGACATATAAACATAACCCAAACAAAAAAGTTTTTTCTCAATATTTTGTTGCGAATCCTTTGGAGGCAATCACTGCCTTAAGTCTGGAACCCATGGACATCACCAAACGCTGGGTTTCCTCCTTCTTAATGCTTTGCCAGGCCTTTACAGCCGCAGCTTCAGGTCTTGCTTGTTAGTAGGTCTTTCCGTCTGAAGTCTGGATTTGAGCAAGTGAAATGCATGCTCAATTGGGTTAAGATCTGGTGATTGACTTGGCCATTGCAGAATATTCCACCTTTTTGCTCTCATGAACTCCTGGGTAGCTTTGGCTGTATGCTTGGGGTCATTATCCATCTGTACTGTGAAGCACCGTCCGATCAACTTTGCAGCATTTGGCTGAATCTGGGCTGACAGTATATCCCGGTACACTTCAGAATTCATCCGGCTACTCTTGTCTGCTGTTATGTCATCAACAAACACAAGTGACCCAGTGCCATTGAAAGCCATGCATGCCCATGCCATCACGTTGCCTCCACCATGTTTTACAGAGGATGTGGTGTGCCTTGGATCATGTGCCGTTCCCTTTTTTTCTCCAAACTTTTTTCTTCCCATCATTCTGGTACAGGTTGATCTTTGTCTCATCTGTCCATAGAATACTTTTCCAGAACTGGGCTGGCTTCTTGAGGTGTTTTTGGGCAAATTTAACTCTGGCCTGTCTATTTTTGGAATTGATGAATGGTTTGCATCTACATGTGAACCCTTTGTATTTGCTTTCATGGAGTCTTCTCTTTACTGTTGACTTAGAGACAGATACACCTACTTCCCTGAGAGTGTTCTGGACCTCAGTTGATGTTGTGAACAGGTTCTTCTTCACCAAAGAAAGTATGTGGCGATCATCCACCACTGTTGTCTTCAGTGGACGCCCAGGCCTTTTTGAGTTCCCAAGCTCACCAGTCAATTCCTTTTTCCTCAGAATGTACCAGACTGTTGATTTTGCTACTCCAAGCATGTCTGCTATCTCTCTGATGGATTTTTCTTTTTTTTAAGCCTCAGGATGTTCTGCTTCACCTCAATTGAGAGCTCCTTTGACCGCATGTTGTCTGGTCACAGCGACAGCTTCCAAATGCAAAACCACACACCTGGAAACAACCCCAGACCTTTTAACTACTTACTTGATTACAGGTTAACGAGGGAAAGGCCTTTTGAGTTACTTGCAGCCTTTGGAGTCCATTGTCCAATTACTTTTGGTCCCTTGAAAAAGAGGAGGCTCTGCATTACAGAGCTATGATTCCTAAACCCTTTCTCCGATTTGGATGTGGAAACTCTCATATTGCAGCTGGGAGTGTGCACTTTCAGCCCATATTATATATAAATTGTATTTCTGAACATATTTTTGTCAACAGCTAAAATAACAATACCTGTGTCACTGTCCAAATATTTCTGGCCCTAACTGTATTTTGTCCTCTAATCTGTCATACAAAAACCCAGTTCAATGTATTGAAGTTTATGGCTGTAATGTGACAAAATGTGAAACATGAAAAGGGCATCGCTAATTCTGCTAAGAACCACATAACTCCACGACCAGCAGATTTGGATTTTCTAAATTCGCAGTTGTTTTTTTTCTCACTCTGATTTTATATGAGATTATTCTTTGTTTTCTTTCTTTCTTTCCCTCTGTGCATTAACTTCAGTCTTAAAGAGTTTCTGAACAGCCTAAAGGCATGCTCTGAATTCTCATTTCAGTATACTTATGTGTCTCAAAGAATAAAGTGTTTTATTGCAGATGAGTTTAGGGCAAGGAGCTTCATTCATTCCTGCCATTTAGCTTCGAGTGAATAACAATGATCCCGTAAAGTTTATATTTTAAATATAGTTTCAAGATTGTTAAAAAAAATAATAAAAAAGCAGTAGTCAGTTGGTGATGTACAGGAACTACACGTGTCCTTTGGGGGAAATTATTTGGACTTTTAGTCATTTGTTTTCATCAGCTCACAAAATAGACGTTCACAAGTCATTAAGTCTTTGAGAGAGAAGTGCAAGTCAAGTCTCAAGTCTTTTAAAAACATTGGGTTTATGACACTTAGTCAGGCTGAAACACTGAACTGCTGCTGAACACTTTATTTTCTTTAGCCTAAATTTGCCAATAAATACTTCTCTAAATGATGTGTGAAAATGAATACAATATATCACTGAAACCACTAAAACATTCATATTTATTTACCTTCAAAGACAAATTATAGATGAACTCAAAATCAGTTAATCCTGTATGTTATTCTGAATGAATAAAACAGAAAGTGGTTTTATTTTTTGAGAACAGGGAGGATCCGTCAAGAAACATTACGGAAAACCCATACCTGCATATCGTTGCCATGACAACCAGTCATTAGTACACCCCACAGTGACTTAAATAGGGACACATTAATTATCTCGTCAGATAATCAACACTTAGCAGCTCACGTTCACTCCTGATTATGCAAGATAAAAAAGTCGTTTTGTTCGTCGGACTCCCAGAGCCAAAGTCCTAGTCAAATCAGAAATCCTTGTTTTAGTGGCAAGTCAGAGTCACAGATTTTTATCTCTCAATAAAAAGTGAAATCTCACATTGTCATCTCACACATATGTGAGAAAGAAAGAGGTTCAAAAAGTTGAGCTTTGTTGCTACCAAGAAGCTAAACTTTGAATTAAAAAAAAAAAAAAGTAAGTCAGTGATGTAGTCATGGCTCGGCTCCTTCTCATTGCATCTCATTGTGATCAAAATATCCTAACCTGGATCACATTTAAATGATCCGACTTGAGTTGCATTGTGCTTACCGTGTTTGGCATGTCATTGCGAAATAAACTACCACAATGCGATGCGGTTGCTTTTAACACAGGGCCGTGCGCGGCTAAAAGCAGAATATCGATCTGTCTCATAACCATGCAGCTATCGCACTCTCCACGCCGCACAAGGTCAGAGGCTTTTGTCTCTTACTGTATTCTATCAGCACACAATGTCCTGGACATTAACCCACGCCAGTCTATAGGACGTCAAAGAGAAGAATGCTCGTTGCCAAGTTTACAATGTTTAAAAAAAAAATCCACCTGAATTAGCAGCAGCTGGTTTTAAAAAAGAAGAGAAAAAATGGCTCCAGGAGGGAAACGGCAACATCATTCTGTCGCTCTGGCTTTTGTTGAGGAGGGTGGTCGATGTTTGCTTTTGTAG